AGACGTAAACGTGAGAGAACATTAATCATGTATTTGTAGCCTTAATCGCGGAACGACTGGACACCAAATAAATTCTTACGTTTTTTCGCGCTTCAAAGTGAAAAACCTACTTCGCTGCTTTAGATAGGCAAAAAAGGCGTGAAACGGAAGAGACTGCTCCGTTCGAAAATATTTGTAATTGGTCTAGGTTAAATGTGCCATCAGGTATATATACATATATATATATATAATATCGTACGGGAAACAGGGAGGTATCATTTTCTTCGTTTCCGGTTTTCTTTTCTCTTTTCTGTTTTTTTTCTTTTCCGGCGCGTATTTTGTGTGAAACCTTGTGCGAGTCCAAGTTCTCGAGAGAAGAAAGGGTTCGACTCTACGAAGCTCGAACCTCCCTGCTTCTGAAACGTGGAAGAAACGAAACGAAACGAAAGAGAGATGGCGAAGAGAAACAAAGAAACGGAGAAACCGTCGACGTGCATAACTCATTCCGCGGATTATTGATTCGCGTTTTTTTTTTTTTTTTGGTAATTCGCTGTTCAATTTCTCTTTTCGTACGATACTTGTTAATTACTATTGTTGAACTCGTCAAGTGAGAATCAGCGAGCGACCTATTAATTGTACAATTATTACAAAACGAACGGATATACGTGCGACAATTTTTACGTACGGTTATTATTGTATTCAACAACAGGGTAAAACAAAGAGCAAACAAACAAACGAGAAATGGAGAAAAAATGGAAAAAAGGAAACAAGCGAAGAGCAGAGATGACTTTCGGAAAAGAATAATTGGGACGCGTGTCACGTCGAACGGCGGCCATTTTGTTTTCCTGTGCGCGGGTGTGCGTGCGCGCAAATTGAAAGAGAACCTCGAGACAAAGGGGAAAAATGGGAAGAAAGAGACGAGGGAAAGAAAGAAAGGGAGAAAGTGGAGGAAGGAGAAGGAGAAGAACGGAAATAAACAAAACGAGTCAATTCTTACGAACGTTAGCAATACTTCGTCATAACCACAAAGGATAAAGAAAAAAAAAAAATGGCAAATAACGAACGAGAAAAAGGAAAGAGAAACTAATAATAATAATAATTGTACACAAGTAAACTAATGTCGCGGGTAAACTACACGTATTCTTAAGTTCGTGACGCGTGCGCGCGTGACGGGTGATCCCGCTCGTTCTCGAAAAAGAAAAATGAACCAAAAAAATCCTAAAAAAAAAAAAAATATAATAATAACAGAGCTTGAAGGAATCACCATCCCCCGTATAAGGGATAGAAAATTGTACGGTGAAATGAACTGCGGTCGCGTGTATCTTCGACGCTGCAAATGCCGGTTTCTTGCAAGCGAAACAAAATGGTAGCTGCTTCGTTACGCCCCAGAACTAGCGATAAACGCGTGTGAAATGAAAAAAAAAAACGAATGAATACACCAAAACGTACTACTACATGCATCGGACCAAACGCCGGTTGATATCCAAAGAAATAATAGGGGAAAAAGAAAGTAATTCGAGAAACAAGGATGTTCTGAAAAATAAAATCGTCGAGTACCAAGGAGAACCTATACACACGAATAGATGAAGAAAAAAGAAAAGAATTGGAAGTTTATCGATACACCGTACGCTACAATAGGGCGATGCTGCTTTTCGAACGAGTTGCAAGAAAATGTGTACCGAAGGGACACAAGCGTTTCGTCGACGAGATGTTCGAGATTCCCGAAACTTTTTTACGTTTTCGATGTTCGCCAGAACGAATCGTTTTCCCGACCGCGACTTCGTCGAGCCGGAGGAGAAAACATTGGAGAGAATGCGTGCACTCGATAATGGTCGTTGCTTCGCAAAACACCTTCTGTTGCCTTTATCCTTTCGTTACGTTCGCCGAGAGAGACAGAAATGAGTTAAGAGAGAGAGAGAGAAAAACGAGCGTCGAGAGCGGATCGTGTATCGCGAGGCCGCGATAATTGTTCAAACAAGCACGGAGGAATGTGTTGTAGACTTCGCGCGAGGCAGAGAAAATAATTGAAGAAAAACGTAAAAAAGATGGAGAGAAGCGAAGAAGGGAAATTACATACGGGGAGTAAAAAGAAATAAATAACGCATATATTACACGTGAACACGGACACCAGCTCAAAAAGAACGTAAAATATATAACGAGATTCGTACGTAGGTTTAAGGGACGCTGACGCGCGAGATCGCAGCAGAAGGGCGGAAACAGGAAGAACCATTGAAAAGCGCATACACACAGAGGAAATAGAAGATGAGAGGAAAAAGGCAGTCGTGATTAAGTGTACATCTTTTCGCAGATTAGGGTGAAAGAAACCTGGGTTCCTCCTCGCGAACATTTATCTCGTTTACATTTCTTCTTCTGTTCTGCACAATTTCTTCTCGGTTTTGAATGGAAAACAAATTTTGGTTGCGATATGCACGATAAATTAATTTCACACTTGTCATCTTAGAACGGTACGAGTACTTTTAAACATATTTGTTTAGACTTTCAAATTTAGATTTTAGAAATCGTTCAATCCTTCTTTTACCAGATAATTCGTAGAAAGACGCGTTTAACAGGAACTCAGGTGTCTTTCGACGAG